ATATATTTATACTAAAATAAATAATTATGACACATATATTTAGTGTAAAAATAAATTTAGCTAAACTACTTTATACAAAATTAAGAGTATTTATAATAATTTTAAAATCCAAGTACTCGCAGTATAAGTGCCTTACTATTTGTCATCATTTCATTATTAAACATGTATCTATTTGATTATTCATTTAAAGTTTATAGTAAATTTTATCTACAAATATATGTGAGCATGAGTTTTTTTTTGTCATCCCTAATTGCGAAGTCCAAAGTCATAAATATTTTCTTGGAGTAAAAAAAGATGATAGAACGAGAAAGTACTTCAAATATTACCAGACAAGACATTATAATGGCAAGCAATTCCAATTAGTTGTAACTACTAACTAGCTTTTGAGTGTCAGGGAATCTCCCTACGAAAGGTTGCTTACCAAGCAGAAAAAATGGCATTAGAATGATTTAGACTCACTCACAAAGAAAGTGAAAGTTCAATCCAAATCCTTAATCACTTATGTCAGTCCACACAAACAAGTTAGAAGTAAATCAAATAACTAATACATTATCAATATATTTTTTAAATAAAACAAAAAATTATATTTGACACCATTATATATAATTATAGGGTTTTATTCTTTTACTTGTATTCAAGACCAAAGAGTGTAAAGTACCGGGTAATTCATTATGGTTATGAGTCCATGAACAAGAGGTTAGTTAGGTAACATAAACTCTATTGCCAAAATGATTATACATCCACAAACTTTGAAACTCGAGTTGATGATGGCTTAAGATAGATCATGGAGACACTAGTAGAAAAATCGGATACAACGTTAGCATATCACTCAACTTTTTTACATTAGTTGTGTTTATAATTGGTGTTATAATGTCATATACTACATTATTTAAGTAATAATTGATGCAATATATTATGTTAAAACTTTCAAGACCTTTTCTCTCCTTTTGTGCTCACTCTTCCTCTTTCTCTTGTGCATTTTTACTCTTTTTTGTTGCTTTCTCTATCGATGAACTCTCTCTCTCATTTCCCTCTTCTTGCCTCCCTACTTTGCCACTTGTTCTCCATTCTATGATCTCTTCTTCATTTGCAATTTTTGGTTGTAATGCTCTCTTATTTTTTTATGCTCTTGATATATTTGAGTAATTCTCCCCTGATGCGTTTTTCTTCATTTTGGTTGTTGTTTATGATCTGATTTATTGTGTTTTTGGTGATTTTCATTATGTAAATGGAGGACATTCACAATCATAAACAAAATTTAATCAATACATAATCTAATTTGTAAAAGTTTTGTTGTATTAGTTTCTCCAAATTATTATTTTTTGTATCTTTACTAGTTAATATTGGTTTATAAAAAAAATTATTTCACTTGTTCTTAATTTTTTTAATGTTAATTATGAAAAACTTTATCTAAATAGAACAAAAATGAGACTCATTTGTATATTTGTCATTACTAGAAAAGTTTCATTTTCCTGCGAATTTTCTTATAAAAAATATTTGTGAATTTTTTCCTACAAGAAATTTTTGCAATTTTTGCTACAATTTTAATAAACATAGAATTTTTTTTCATGGTAAAAATTTGTAGAAAACGTTATTTTATTTCTTGTAGATTTTCTTGTAAAAATAAATTCGCAAGTAATGTTTACTAAATGGTAGAAAAATTTTGCAAGTAACTTTTACTGTGAATTTTTCTGCCAATATAAATCTGCAAGAAAATAAAAAAAATGTTTAAATTTATAAGTTTAATAATTAAAAGATTTTTAATTAAAAAATATTATTTTACTAAATTATTTATAAATATATCATTATAATTTTAATTTTAATTAAATTAAATATATAAAATTTTATAAATATGATAAATTAATGATAATGAGTTTTAATTTAATGATAATTTATAAAATTTTAAAATTAAAAGTATTTACTTAATAAAATATTATTTTACTAAATTATTTATAAATATTTCATAAAAATTAATTTTAATTTAAAATATTAATAAATTAAATATTTATTTTAATTAAATGTATAAATTAAAGATGATGAGTTTTAATTTAATGATAATTTTTAAAATAAAATTATTTAATAAAAAACTATTTTTTTAAGAATATTGAATATTTAAGAGTTAAAATAATTTATTATAATATAATTGTGTTGTTCAATATAATGAATTAATCATTTTTCTAAAGACATGATTTAATTAATATTTAAAGAAAACTTCAAGTCTCACATCGATTGAAAATAAAATAATTAAAGAGTATATAAGTTGGGGCAACACTTATCTTATAAGTTAATTTGTATGATTGAATGTTAAACTTATAATCTACGATCTAAGAGTTTAAAATGTTATGTATCATATAGTAGAGGCGTGGAAGCAAATTTCTTAATGTTTCGGATAAATTCATTGTGAATATTTGAAAGAATTGAAATTTTTTTTATGAATTTTAAAATTTACAAAAATATATTATTCACGAAAGTATTACTTGATGATAAAGTTTCGCAAAAAAATTTATAGGAATAATGTTTGATATGAATTTTATATAAAAATTCATGTGAATTGAAAAGTCATATGTAATAAAGAAAAATTTTAGTAGTGTGTATTTAAAAATGGCGTTAACGTTATTAATTTTACGGTACCCCTTGTGGAGAAAATCAAGAGTAATTTGTGGGAAGTGGGAAATGAATACTCCCTTGGATTCCGGTTGTTTTGTATCAGTTCAGCTGTGTCTACGCTTCACTGAACACTCAAGCACCAAAATAGCCCCATAAATAGGGACATCACTAATTTCCAAAACAAAAAGGGACAACACAACACACTGAGCAAATTTTATCCTCAATTTCAAGAGTGTTTATTTTATTCCTGTACAATTAATTTTTATTAATAATCTATTTTATTTTGTTAATCAATTAATATATTAAAAAATTATATAAAACCACTTCAATATAAGTGATCGATATAAAATAGTTACATTTGAGTGCTAATATCAAAATCGGAATTCGGAAGAAGATGATGGACTACATACAGCTAAAAATATATCCTGTTACTTTAGTTTCTTTTGGATAGTATGGAATCAAATGTAAATGATTATTTGCTTCTTCCACAGGGGTTACTGAATTAGAAATTTGCATGTTGATTCATACGTATCTGGAAATGAGAGGGGTCCATACATGCATGGATTTTAAGCAAATAAATCAATGAAAGTCTTCAATCTCTGCCCGTGACCGACCACATCTCATGCACTGTCCATCTAACAAATATCAAGTAAAGTAATGTTCATGTTTTATTAATCTCTCCTGCAAACTCACCTTGAGTACTTCTAAATTCTATAGATTATATCCTTTGTCTAAATCTTAACCATCCATGATCCATGTCTGTTTCTCAATATGTTGCTACCAGAATTGACATAGCAGTGGGATTAGAATATTGTACATTAAATTAATTATAATTTTGAACCTTATATTGACACAGTTATAAAAAATAAAAAACAAATATTTCTCTTTCTCAATTTTTTTCCCACCACATATATTTTTTTAGTTCACTACGTTAAAAATTCATCTCACTCATATTATATCAGTTGTTAGTCTGAAACTTTTTAAAATTTATGGCGAGAATTGAATACAGAATTCTCTCTTAAAACAAATTATTTTCACAACATAAATGTAAGATGTCTAATTACTGCACATCTTGATATAACTTTACAAGTTTCAATTATTTAAACGATAACACCAACAGTGTTAAACTTTTTGTACTAGCGTTCCAAATACCAACTTTCTGTAGCGCAGCTGGATTCACCGTACTAATTCCAAAAAGTGTCTAAAACCGGAGTTTGTCTATTAGCTTTACCCCAACGATCAATAGGCCGTTTGTATCAGATTTATTATTTTCCTATGCAAACGTCCTAATCAAACGCTGTTTGCAGTTTTCAGCAGAATCTGAAACAGTTAACAAATTTAATCTGACAAGGGAACATGTATTCATTATGTCGTGTGTTCATCAATAAAAATCTATAATTCATACGCTTGCATTTAACCTGTTCTCAATGGATTTAAATATAAGCGTAATTCACAAGACTTAAAAATATTTCTTATTAATTATTGAAATTAATTTTATTAATGATTAACCTTTATCAAAAACCTTCGTTATATATATTTCTTGGTAATCTTTTTTTAACAGCATTTTTTTTCAGCCAAAAACATGAATTTAAAATCATACTTAAAAATTCCAAATTCAGTATCACTAGTTAACACGTTGATACACCTTTCCTATTTTACACTGTTCCAATTTTATTATATTTTTGCAAATTTAAAGATATATTATTTTAATACATATTTCATTACAATATAAAAACCTTTAATTTTAATTACAACATATCAAAGGGTAATTTTTCACCGCACACTATATAAAAACCTTTAATATGTTTCACCGTCCTTTGTATTTATCAACATATTCTCTCTTTCTTATTTTTTTTCTCTCCATATATTTTTTATAATTATACTTCTCTATATACATAAATCAATGAGTTGTGTATAACTTATTAATGTGTTAAATTGAATTTTTCGGATAATGTCTAATTTGATCTTTAGTAAAAACAATTTATTAGATTTATGTATTTTTTGATTAAATCAGATTAATTTAAGACGAATTTTTGAAACATTAATGTAAAATAAAAAAATATCAAATATTCTAAATAAAAAAGAGAAATAAGATAAAAATATCAAATAAGAGCATTTGAAAATAAAAACATTTGTCAAAATAATTTTTTTAAAACAAAATTTATTACATTTCCTTATGTGTAGTATGCTCTCCAGCTAAAATTGAAATTTTCTTTTTTATGAATGATAAAATCGAAGATTAATCTCAATAATATACTTTCAATCAAATCTATAGTGCAAGCATAAGTAATTTATATTAACTCATCACTGAGGAGAACTACATGTACTTACAGAATTCTACATAAATTTTGCTCTTTTTTTTAATTCTTTCTAAATAAAAATTATGTAGACAAGTTTGCACAATAATTTCGAAATTTGCATGTATTAAAGGACTGATCATGCATGCACACTACGACCCTATTCTTTCTCCTCCATCAAAACGATTCAAGACACAGCAACCATGGGTGCGAACCACACCACCACCTCATTTCTTTTCTTCGCTACACTACTTTACCTAACCACCACCACAGCCATCGCCAACGACCCATGCGCTTCAGAAGGCGACGACTCAGACATCAGCGTCATTCCCATCTACGGCAATTGCTCGCCGTTCAAGAACTACTCCACCTCGTGGGAGACCACCATCATCGACATGGCCTCCAAGGACCCACTCAGGCTCCAGTACTTGTCCACCCTCGTCGCAACCAAACGCCGTAAACGGGCCTCCGTGGCCCCAATCGCTTCGGGCCAGGCCTTCAACATTGGCAACTACGTCGTCCGAGTCAAACTCGGCACGCCGGGTCAACTCTTTTTTATGGTCCTCGATACCAGCACCGACGAGGCTTGGGTCCCCTGCACCGGCTGCACCGGTTGCTCCTCCACCGCCACGTATTCGCCGCAGGCCTCCACCACTTATGGCGGCCCCGTTGCTTGCTATGCTCCCCGTTGTGGACAGGTTCGCGGTGCCCTACCTTGCCCCTCCACGGGCTCCAACGCTTGCACCTTCAACCAATCCTATGCAGGTAACAACTACTCTTTATTTCTTTTTACATATTCCCATTTTTTTTATTATAATTAAAGTTTTATGCCAACAGTTCAAAGATATCTCCTAGTTCTTTAATTTTAATTAAAAAAAATTGAATTTAACTTTTAAGAAAATTAACATTACAAAGTTTTTTTTTTTCTTTTTTTTTTTTTCCTTTTTTTACATGTAAATTGAAACTACCTTTCCCTTTGGAAATTTGGCTTAACGCAGGCTCCACATTCTCCGCGACGCTCGTGCAAGACTACCTCAAGTTGGCGACTGATGCCCTCCCAAACTACGCTTTCGGCTGCGTCAATTCCGTCTCAGGCGGGTCCATCCCGGCCCAAGGCCTATTGGGCCTGGGCCGCGGCCCCGTGTCACTCCTTTCACAAGCCTGGTCACGCTACTCCGGCGTGTTCTCCTACTGCCTCCCCAGCTTCAAGTCCTACTACTTTTCCGGGTCACTCAAACTCGGGCCCACGGGCCAGCCCAGAAGGATCCGCACCACCCCGCTTCTCCGAAACCCGCGGCGGCCCTCTCTGTACTACGTCAACCTCACAGGAGTTACCGTGGGCCGGGTCCGGGTCCCGTTACAAAGCGAGTTTCTGGCATTTGACCCGAACCGGGGATCCGGAACCATCATAGACTCGGGTACCGTTATAACCCGGTTCGTGGAACCGGTTTACAACGCCATAAGGGACGAGTTTAGAAAGCAAGTGAAGGGTCCTTTTGTTAGCATAGGAGCATTCGACACGTGCTTTGTGAAAAGCTACGAGAATTTGGCACCGTTGATAAAGTTTCAGTTCACGGGTTTGGATCTGACTCTGCCCTATGAGAACATTCTGATACATAGCTCCAACGGGTGGGTGGCGTGCTTGGCCATGGCGGCAGCGCCAAACAACGTGAACTCGGTGCTCAATGTCATTGCCAACTACCAGCAACAGAACCTTAGGATTTTGTTTGATACCGTTAATAATAAGGTTGGCATAGCCCGTGAGCTTTGTAACTAGCCCTAGCTCCATGTGTTGTACGTGTTTATTTTAATTCTTGGTACGTTTGTTTGTTTGCATGCATGCATGGTTGTTTCTTAATTAGGTTGCTTTGTTTTTTGGATCTTGTTCAAATGGGTGTGGTGAATAAGCCGTGTGGGCACTGGCTTGGTTTTGGAGTTTGGAACATTTCTCAGAATAACATGTGTTGTGGTAGTGGTACTTCGTGTTTGTTTCTTGTTTCAAGTAATCTTTTTTGCATGGTCTAGGACCTGTATTCTTCGGAGACGCCAAAAGAACTTTTGGCATGAACCAAAATCTTATTATTGTATAGAATCACTTATTAAGTAAAGTTACAAAACAATCTAAAAGAATCTAAATTATATATACACCAATGAGCTTCTTAAATAGAATAACAAGGGTAGAGATGAAAACAAAAATATAAAAATATGTTCTAGTAATAAATAAAATTGGATACAAATTGAATATTAATAACTTAATGGATATTAATGAATGGAATAATTTTTTTTTTCTCAACATACATATGAATAGGGCGAGAACAAATAGAATTATCTAGTCTTGCGAGTAGCCATTATTTATTTATTTATTTTTATGAGTATGGGTAGCCGTAATTTGAAAATACTTAAATATCTTTAATTATATATATGTAAAATAAATTGTTCTAATTTATAGTACGAATATATATATATATATATATAGATATAGATATAGATAGATCGATTATTTAGTTTTAATATAAACATATGTTACAAAGTTGTTTATTTTTAAATTTTGTTTATTCTATATTAAAATTTCTATTTTAACAAACATTTTTAAATAATTATTGTTATTCATAGATGCTAAAACCATTATTCTCTAGAAGTCCCTTAATTTTTGAAATATAAACATATTAATTACAAATATATATAACGATTATTTAGTTTTAATATAAACCTGTTACAAAGTTGTTTATTTTTTTTAATTTTGTTTATTTTATATTAAAATTTATATTTTAAAAAACATTTTTAAATACTTATTGTTATTCATAGATGCTTAGAATTGTTACTCTTCTAAAATTCCTTAATTTTTGAAATTGTTTAAAAATAATATTAAAAAAGACGTAAAAATTTGTAAAAAAATCCATGTATTTCATGCGCAAGGAGGCAAATCTGCTGATTTTCTTTGCAACAAGTTCACTTGACTTATATACATAAACACAAGTCTCACCACTCTTATTAACCTATTTGTATATCTATGTATAAATCATTCTCCAAATGTAATAGTAAGATTTTTTTTATTTTTTATTTATAATGCCTTATATACAAAATTTGAAAAGTTCTTACCATTATTGTATAGTGCATTTGTTTTTATATCATCTTATAAAGATATAAAATTTAGGCACTTAGTCTATGTACAAGGTAAATGTTTTAAACAGTTAAAGTTAGCTTTTAAGAGTAGTTCACGAAACTCTCTATTCATTATTCTCTTCTTGTACTTGTCTCTGGATATTTATAGGATGATCATTTGGTTATCATTTAGGAAAACCGGCGATCTACAATTTTACTGGAGGATATGGATTTATCAATATCAGACACAGAAGCAGATGATTATGCTAAAAATGGGACTGATGATGAATGGGTAGCATCAGAAGATGATGAATGCGTAGCATCAGAAAAAATACATGTTAGGAAAAGAAAGTCTAAGAGCAGACGTGCAAGCATGGAAGACAATCAGTCAAATATCAGTTCAGAAGATGTAAAAGATAATTCAACAGAAGCAAATGGAGGTGCATCTGGGGAAACTGCATCAGGAATCTGCTGCTCTTGTAGTAAATCTTCTTCTTGCAAGACAAACAAATGCAAGTGCAAAGCTCTGGGCGGCACTTGTGGGAGTTCTTGTGGTTGCTTAGCATCCAAGTGTGCCAACAGAATATCAGTCTCGAATGAGTCACAAGTTGAAGGGACTGGTAATGCTTCCAGTATTGAGGAATCAAACAAAGATCGCCTTCTTGCTGCTCAAGGGGCTGAATTGCTTCAAGGTGCACTGGTTGAGGGGCCTGCTGAAGCCCACAGTGATCATGGGCCAAGAAAACCTCTTTCTGATATTGGAAATACACTGGTGCGTCTTATCAAACCTATCTAATTCTGCATTAAATCATTAATTTGTTTTCTGTCGTTGTGTGTGAACTGGATGCAATACAGGTTACTTCAGTGTTTTAATTATTTCTTTTTGCAGGCCAAATCAAATGCTCAGAAGGCTAATCCAAGAAAGAAATGGGGGAAGGTGAAGCCCCCAGTACTTGTTGTTACAGATCCTCCACCTTCCTCTGAAGATAATTCTGAAGTCCCCAAGAAAGAAGATAATAGCATCAATGAAGCGAACATACCACTGAAAATGCACTCATCTAGACCTGAAAACTCTTTGGTTGCCCCTAAGGTAGAGAAAAATATAATTGACACAGATATACCTTTGAAAATACCTCGAGCTATGCGAAAGCAAGCATCATCAAATGGTGGTGGCCTTCCACTGGGGGACATGAACGCTGGTAAGCCAGATGAATCTGTCACAAAGAAGGAGTCTGAAGTGATTGAAGCTAGAAGTCCCGTGAAACAAAAAAGAACATTTGAGAAAGAGAACAATGGACGTTAATCTTGCGTC